TGGATTATGTGAGCCTTCCTGTTGTAATTGAATCTTGATTGCTATGTATCTGTGCACATTTATGTGTGGGGTCGACCCTCAGCTGGCTGACTGTGAGGATTGATTCCCAGCACAGTATACAAGCTGCTGTGTGGATGCTGACCACATGAAGTGAAATTTGCTCCAGCAGGGTCTGGTGCCTACCAAAATCTTCCTTGAGAAGCTAATTGGGTCCTGCTCTAATGTGGTTCTGGGATCTCATGGGAGGGACTCTGGTGCAGGTCAATGTCAGATGCTGCCTTTGTCAGATCTTGAACTACCTGTTTGGAGCTATAAAGGGATACGCAATTTATGGGTGTCTTGGTGTGCATAGGAGTGGCTAAGGTGCCCACCAAGACCAGCTTCCACCTGTATTAAGCCTAGGGAGTCAGGTCAGCAAAAGGCCCACAGCAACCTGAGATCTGCCTCCACTTGCCTTTGCCTGCCAGCTGCCTGTTCGTATCAATCACTGAAAGAACCTCTGGCAGTATATGAGTTTCATGAGGTAGTTTCTCAGTGAGTCACCAGGTTAGCAGAAGTTCTGTTCACCAGATTGATACAGATTCAAATTTGTTGCCAGTGCTGGGACACAGCAAAAGTTACAGGGTACACCAAGGCCAGCAGCCACATGCCAGGTGCCCAAAGACCTTTGTGATGGGGTGGTGGGGTCTCAGGGAGTTCTTGGCAGAGTTCATTAGGCCCAAATAGACCAAGATTTGGCCTTGTGTAAAGATGGCCCTGCACAGGAACAGTGGCTTTAGTTGGGCAGGCGAGGGAAAAATGGCCCCTAACCTAGAGCCACACAATTCAGTCTGTCCCCAATTCTGGTTGGACCTTCTCAAGAGCACTAAGCTCTGCAGGGCAGGACTTCCAGGAGTCAAGGAGGTAGGGTTAGTGGATTTCTCATGGGAAGGCAGGACTGATCAGGCTCTCAGGAATAGTGGGGGAGAGAAACCCCAGAGCCACATAACTCAGTCTCTCAGTCTCTGATACCCCCTGAGTCCACCTGGACCTCAACACCACTGTCCAGGTAGCTCACTAATCCACAGAGTATGAGCTTTGCAGGGTAGGGCCACAGGGAGTTGGGAGAATGGGGCTATTACATTCATCAGGCTGATGCCTTATGGAGGGAAGTGCTCAACCCAAGAAAGATGGTATCTGTGGGCAGTGTGGGAGAGGGACTCAGCACAGGTACTCTGGCAGTTGTCCCTTCAAGCTGTCTTCCCAGAGCCACATAATCCAATCTCTCTTCACACAATTCTAGTCCACTTCAAGCTGTCCTCCTTTTTCAGAACCCAAGGTGAGTGGCTACCAATGAGGTTTTGTGCACTGGCCCTTTAAGAAGGCAGGAGGGTTTCTAGCAGAATTTGTCTCTCTCTGGCAGACAGAATCCATGCTGATTTTCACAGCCAGATGTTATGTGAGCGCCTCCTCCAGGCTCTGATGTTCTGGTCTGGGGAGCCCGCTGTGGGGTTAAAACCCCAAGCTTCTCAGGAGTAAACCTTTGCAGCTAAGATATCCCTCCAGATTCTCAGCTGCTGCATGTGGGTGCAGGGCCAGCCCTTTTTGCATCTCCAACCTTCCTACCAATCAAAATGTGGCTTCTTCTATAAATCCTTGGTGATAAAAGTACAACTCAGCTCATCTTCATTTGACTATTTAGGTTGATTAGTCTATATTTTAGTTATAATTCCAGGTTGGTTCTGGGAGGAGATGAGTGTAACTTCAACATACTCTGCTGCCATCTTGGATTCTCCCAGGTGGCAGAGAATTTCATCCCCAGGCCTTGAGATCTAATCAAGTTTGCCTAGAAAGATATTAAAACGGCCCTGGCCAGTTTTTCTCAGTGGTTAGAGTGTCTACAGACTCAAGGGTAATGGTTTCAATTCCAGTCAAGGGCACGTACCTTGATTGCAGGCTTAATCCCTGACCCCAGGACTGGGTGCATGCAGGAGGCAACCAATCAATATGTCTCTCTCACATTGATGTTTCTGTCTCTCTCTCTCCCCCTCCCTTCCACTCTCTCTAAAAATCAATGGAAAAAAATATCCTTGGGTGAGGATTAACAAAAAATAAAAAGAAAAACATTAAAACTTATTGTTGACTGTGGGGCAAAAGTCTAATGGCCACCATAACAAGAAGGTATCTTCAGACCAAAAGATGAAGCAAGCAACTTCATAGAAAATAACAGAATTACAAGGTAATTTACTTACAGGAAGATTGGGCCAGAGTGGACAGATGACCCAGCAATTTTTCTTAAGTTATTATTCACTACCAGACTCCTATTACAGTACTTCTTTTATAGTATAACTCAGGTATAATGATTGACAAGACAAAGAGACAAAGAATGCAATAGTTTCAGGGGGCATCCCTCCTGGTGGTCTTATGATAAATGATTGCTTATAATTGATACTCTTACCTAATTGATACTCTTACCAGTTTGATATTTATCTCAGTTGTCAGGCCATTCTGGCTGTTTCTAAAAAAAATATTTAAGGCTACATTTTAAGGAACACAGACCAACATCAACTAGAAGGTTTGCTAAGGACAGTGAAGTTGGTCACAAAGATCACAGCATGAAACTTAAAATGAAATCTGGACACAGAGAGAGAATTAGTTTTGTTCATATATACATGTATACACTTAAGAACCAGTAACTCCTTTTACTTTCCATCCACCACCACTCCTTTTTAAACAGAAATGTCTGTGACCCATGCCTGTCCCTCCACTGTGTGCTGGGAATGTTGGGTGGGTAGTTTCTTCAGTATCATGGGTCTATAGATGAGGAAGAATTGTGCTTAAAAGCTGTATTTAAATAGTTATCGCCTAGTAAGTCGGTTTGGCTCAGTGAATAGAGCGTCGGCCTGTGAACTGAAGGGTCCCAGGTTTGATTCTGGTCAAGGGCACATGCCTGGGTTGCAGGCTCGATACCCAGTTGGGGGCGTGCAGGAGGCAGCCGATCAATGATCCTCTCTCATCATTGATGTTTCTATCTCTTTCTCCCTCTCCCTTCCTCTCTGAAATCAATAAAAAATATGTTAAAAAAATAAATAGTTATCACTAGGAAACTCATTCTCACCTGACTTTGAGGAGTTAGATGATGAGATCTTGGACTTTGAGGTGATGAGATAATGATATTTAGATTTAGATGATGATGTTGGTTCACAAACTGGCCCCTCTACATGGAGGGCAAGAAGAGATGGAAGAAATAAGTAGACTACTCCAGATAGATAGGTGGCAGGTTTAATAAACAAGGCAACGTATTTGAAAACCAGAAGACTCACTTCCACCTGCCAGAATCTATATAGAGAATATACCTAGGCTCAGTCAAATATACCATCCAGATTGTCTCAACAATACCTATCTCTCTCATGGTTGCATCCTTGGAACAGCTCCCACTGTGGGAACAGTTGGCTGAGTGCACAGTCCAAGGACAGGGGAGGGGTAAGGAACCTTCAATTGCTGAAGTCCAGCTCAGTGATCAACTGGAGGTCATGTCCTATTGATGACCTCCACCAACAGATGAGAATTTGTATTTTGTGTTGATACTGTAATAGGTAGAGACTTGGGAACCTTGAGATATAGTGAATAATCTTGCATTTAGGAAGGATACTAGTTATTAGAGGACAGAGGTTGGACCCCGCTTCCCCTTGACCCATAAGTTCCTGCTGCTGAGTTGAGGAGACACTTGTATGAAGAGATATCCTCTCCTTGATTATGTCATGCTGTATTGCACTAGTGAGTTTCAGAAAGAGATATCATTACCCTTCATGGGCCTGACCTAGTCATAGAAGATGGTATAGATGACTACATCAGATCTTGAAAACAAGTTGGCAATATTTGGTGACATTATGTAAGCAACTGACCTCTGATGAACTAGTGCATATTCCTGGGTCTACCTCATAACTTCCTGATGACTCTGTCACCAAACTGGGGTCCTGTGGGTAGAGGGAACCTATGTACCTTCTGCTTCCCCTATTAGCCTGGGGACTCCCAGTGCGGACTGCCTTCTTGGACCTGACACCAGCTTCTGCAGCTTCCGATGTGGCGCAAGGCCATCTGAGTCCAGATCAGTGCACTCCACCGACCCCCAGGAGGCGGTTTCCCAGCTGCCCTTGCGTGGTGGCCAAGGTGCTGTCCGCTCCATCTGATGGCGAACGCTGGGGTGGGGGGTGCAGTTCCAGGCTGGTGGGCAGCCTACGCCCTGGCTGTGGCCCTTCTCTGGCTGTGCCCACTACTGCTGCACGCCCAATCTGCGGGGACCACCGCCCAATCTGCGGGGACCACCGCCCAGCCTGCGGGGACCACCGCCCAGCCCACGAGGACCACTCAGGCCGGGGCTGGTGAGTGGGCAACTAGGGCAAGGGAGCCCAGGTCGCCCACTTTGACATGTCCCACCCTCAACAGCAGCCAAGGGGGTTGGGCTCTAAGGTCCCTGGGTTTCTGCGGAACATACGCGGTGGGGCCATGGAGGGAGGGAGATGCAGGGGAGACCAAGGTGCCCCCTCTGCCCTGCAGCTCTTTCCCACTAGATTTCAGTATCCTAGGCCAGGAGTAGAGGTCCTGCACTAGCCTGTCTCTGTCAGCCCCCCACAGCCTCTTCATTTTAAGAATGGGAAGTGCTACTTCAAGAGGGGGGTTATCAAGCAAAGTATGTATCATTTGGCCTCAGGCTCCCTAGAATATTGTACTGAGGTGGGAGGTGTGCAAACAGGTCATTATCAGTAGCCCTGAGCAAACAGCATCCCTCTGTAAGTCCTCAGTTTCTGGGACTTCAAACAGTTGTGTATTAGTTAAGTGAAATCGGTCTGGGGAAGGACCTGGGGAAATGCCACTGCCCAGCCTGGACCTCCTCACTGCTATTCTGATCTGTACCTACCTGGCTGCCCCCCCTCCTCCTTTGCCCCCTCCTCCAGACCCACAAGCTGCTTCCTTAATGCTGTCATCTCCAGTGAAGCCAGGTGGCCTTTGTCACATAGGCCATGTCACTTCACTCTGGGTTTATGGAGGCAGCAAGGCTGTGCCTCAAGACTGGGACTATCTCCACAGTGTGTGGGAGGCCCGTGGTGACTGGGAAGATCTTTGGTGGCAAGAATGCATCTGACCAGCGGTGGCCATGGCAGGCCAGCCTGCTCTACCATGGCAAGCACATCTGTGGAGCAGCCCTCATCAGTGCCTTCTGGGTGATCTCAGCTGCCCACTGTTTCCAAAAGTGAGTCTTCCCACAGGGGTGCAGCTGCTGGGGGGTGGGAAGGGAGGGAGCACAAAATGGCCAGAAAAGAAGAGGGTAAAGGAGGTTGCAGCTTTTTTTTCTTCTAGGCTTTGTTCTGGGATAGTTTGCTGCCACCAGGTGTCTCTGGGTGCTGTTGCAGTCCTCTCTACCTGGAATACCATCACTGTTCACCACCTGACTCTAGTCTTCTGACTGTCTTGAGTCATTTCTCCTAGGACAGAGGATAATTGCCTCATCTCTCCTCATGGGGATGTTCTTTTCACCCCCCTCTTCATATTGTGATAACATATACCAAGATGGCGTGGTTGTCTCAGCTACATTATTTTTAAGTAGCTAAATGGAAATTGGCTCTAATTATGATTATCAGTAAATACTGGAAAACAGACTTTAGTTCCAAAATAATTGCCTCCAGTTCATTCTTTATTTTTCCTAAACTTTAGGAATCTAAATCCTGTTTCAACTCAAGGTGGACTCTGGTTTCTATATGTTGCCCAGCTCTAGATAGCCCCATAAGATTCCAATGTGCCTCAGTTTCCTCTTGTGCAAATGGTAGTTGGTGTGTAGTGTCCCTTGCCACATCCTGGCACAGGCTTCATGCTGTAAGTCAGAGTGACAGTACCAAGGCTGGGGGTGGGGAGCATCAGTCAGGGCCCATTGTGAACAAGTATTTTGCCCTCTTGTCTGAAGGCTGGCTCCAGCACAACTGCCTGAAACTTCCCTGGGTCCTGACTACTTGCACACTTGGCAGTTCCTCTCTAGAGGTGTGCTAAGACTCTGCACACCTAACTAGAACTCAGCTCTTTCTTTCACCTCTGTAGAACTATGTGCCTAAGAATAGCTGTTGTCACCACTGTCCTCACAGACCAGAGTGAGGAATAAAGAAGATGGTCTCTGTTCCGGGAGATGGGTGCAGTTAGGAGAGTGGACTGCTCCTCAGGTGTATCCTGGGTTTATTTTGTGCCCAGAGGGAGTGATAAAGTCATCATGCTCCATGTCAGGAAGACAAGGCTGCTGGTGTCAGCTGGCTTTGAGACCCCACTTCTATTCATTTATTCAGCACACATGGGTGCCAGACCCCATGTGAAGCCCACTGTGGGTGATGTAGAGATGCAAGGCTCCACTTGAAACTTCTCATCCTATAAGAAAAGTAAGACACAGTCCACCTACTGTGATACAGGGTAGAGAGTCCATAATGTGTGAGAGGGTAGATGCTGAGCAAGTGTCAAGAGAGGTGCTGTAGATCTCATCAGATGTTGGGCCTTATGGAAGAAGGATTCAGGCATGGGGAGTCTGGGTAGGGGACAACACAAGCAGGACACCACACACTCCTCTATTGGCTCCACAAAAACTTGTTGAGTGCCTGTCACCAGATGGGGATCAGCCTTTAGAGAAATTGGTGTGTGTGTGGACTGGGAAGGAAGAGGATGAATCATTCTAGGATGGGAAATGGGGTCTTTGATATTCACTCCTGGGTATGGGACCTTACAAGGGTTCTGGTCAAAGTTGGGAATGAGCCAAGTCTCCTCTCCTCAAAAATGAAGGGGTATAACTTCATGTTTCCAGCACTAAGATTCTCTGCTCCTTTGATTCTGGGACATGCTGGGAAAGCCATCAGTAACTTTCAAAGGATAAATGTCCTGAGGCTGTGGACAGCAATCAAACCACCTCAAGAGAATGTTAGGAAGGGAGGAGAAAGAGACCACTGGAATAATGGTGGGCTCTAATTACTAACCAGTGGGTGGGGAAAGCAGTCAGAGTAAGGGTGCTGGTCCAGCACCCAGAGGAGATGGGTGATAATGGAGCCTCTCCACAATAGGTCCCATGAGCCATCAGACTACAAGATCCTGCTAGGGTACCATAAGCTACAGCATCCCACCGAGCACAGCCTGCAGATGACGGTATATCGAGTCATCGTCCACGATGATTTTAATAAGCGCTACATCATGGGGAGTGACATCGCATTATTGCAACTACATTGGTCTGTGAATTTTACTTCCCATGTCCTCCCTGCCTGCCTCCCAGAGCCTAATGCAACGTTGCCCCCTCATACCTCTTGCTGGATAACTGGCTGGGGAATGATCACTGAGGAAGGTGAGTAGGATAGGGGAGATGAGGAGAGTGAGGCTGAGGAGGAGGGGGGTGCAGTGGCCACCATGGGGCCCTGACAGCATGTCCTAAAACTTCAAGTTTTCTTTAGTTCGTTGTTCAAAAAAATCTGAGTATCTCTAACTTTTGGAAGCAGGAACTTGGGGTGTTTTTCGACTTGAGCCATTCAGGATTCCACCCTGACTCCCAGGTCCTCCTTGGGTCAGGCTCCTTCAGAGCTTGCTTTGTCAAACACCTCTTGAAATCCTACTGCCACAGAAGGTACTTGGGCAGCAGTCAGGAAATGAAGCAGGCCTGCTCTCTGGTATGGGTGGTGGAATTGGACATTTATAGCTTTTACCTCTGTGAACTTCACTTCTCTTTATTCTAACTGAAGTAAAAGTTGCCCATTCTGCCTGCTTGCTGGGCTTGTATATTTTTAGATGGAGAAAAGAGAAATGTTGGGCAAAGATTTTTGCACAGGGATGAATGCTTTTGTTTTAAACATAACATTGAGTGAAAAAATAGGATGTAAATTTGGCAAAACATCTCATGAAGGCATTGGGGACAGGACTTTCTTTGCTGTGCAGGCCAGTGCCAGTATCCCTGCTCCTGTCCACTTCCAACATTTCCAAAGACACCCTCCTGGGATGGACTCATTAAGAACCACTGGCATACCAAACAAGATTCTCCAAGCTGGTCAGAGGATGGGAGTTGGGGAATGAAGTGAAGTGAGCTGCCACCAGGACAGGGAGCAGCTGCCATCAAAGAGGGACTCAATTGTCTTTCTCCCTCCACTCCATCCACCCCCAGACTGCAGTTGCTGGTCTGGGCTGCCCCTGAGAACATGTGAGGGCCGTACACAACTCATACTCTATAGGAGTGCTCGGTCACTGTAACACTGTGCTGCCTCATGAGAACACCAGGTCAGATCTGTGAGCAGTATCTGGAAATAGAATCTACAGGAAAGGTGTCCACAAACCAGATGCTCCTTGAGGCAAGGCCATGTTTTATTTGTCATACCACCTAACCCCATCTAGCATCTTCTAGGTATATCACTGCTACTCCTTGACCAAGCCAGGACTCATAGCTTCCACCCTCTGTGCCTCTACTTCTGGCCCCACATAGCAGCCAGATTAATTGTTCTTAAAATCTAAGTAGACCCTTCAGTGGTTTCCCAGTATGATTAGAATAAAATCCAAACTTCACAACCTGGTGAGGAGGCCTTGCTTGCCCTGGATCCTGCTATGACTGTGTCTAATTTTTTTCACCCCCATAACAACCACACTGACCTCCATCCTGGTCCTTCCAACTGTATGCTGCTCACTTTTGCTCTCTTGTCTGCCTTGAACATTTCCGCGCCCCCCCCCCACCGCTCTTTACACATCCTCTGAGAGGCTTCCTCAATCCTCTTAGCCAGAATGGTGACCTCTTCTTCAGCAGACAGGTTAGAGAGGCAGCTGGCTTCTTCCCCAGGCTCCACCTCATATCTGACCAAACTATCACTCCCCTGCAGAGTTCCTGCCTCCACCTTCACAACTGCAGGAGGGAGAGGTTGGCATCATAGACAACGAGGTCTGTAAAATTTATTTCCAATCGCCAAACACCAGTAAATACTCTCTACATGAGGATATGCTGTGTGCCGGGGACCTCATTACTGGAAAGTCCATCTGCCGAGTAAGTAAGACCAGCTCCATATCTTCAGTCGGGGCTATCTCTCCTCTCCTGTGGCATCTGTTCTCTCTCTCTCTCTCTCTCTCTCTCTCTCTCTCTCTCTCTCCTCAGCCTCTGGTTTTTTATTTCTTACCCACCCCAGTTAGAAGTGTCAGAGCCAAAGGACAGAAGCCACTATAGAGTCCACTCCATCTGTTTTCTTCATTTTTTAAAAGAGCTTTGTTGAAGTACAGCATTCATAGGAAAGGGCACCATTTATAAGTGTGCCATCTGATGCATTTTAGAAACTGATACACTCCTGGAACCAGCACCCAAAGGGTCCTCCTTATATCCCTATCTTGTCATTAACTCCCCCCAGCTAACCCTGGCCTGGCTTCTTAAGCACCATAAAAAAGTGTCAGGACTTCTATACATGGAATCATACAGGACACATTCTCATTGGGTCTCTTTCAGTCATTGTTATGTTTGTAAGATTTATTCATCTTGTGTGTAGTTTATATTATCTTATTGCTGAATAGTGTTCCACTGTGTGAATATAGTATCACTTTATTTATCCATTCTAGTGTTGGTGGCATTTAGGTAGTTTCCACATGAGACCATTACAAATAGCACTCTGTGAACATCCTAGTGCATGTATATTGGTGCACATGGGTTCACACTTTGGTTGGGTATAACCTGGGAGCAGAATTACTGAGCCATATAATAGGTACATGTTCCTCTTATAAATGCTGTAGGGCAGATTTCCAACCTGTGTGTACCAATTAGACTCCTACAGCAGGTAAAAGTTCAGGTTGCTCTACATTGCCACCAGTACTTTATGTGGTCCACAATTTTTATTTTAAACATTGCACGTGATTTTTAATTTGCATTTCTCTAGTGAATGATGAAGATAAGCATTTTTTATATGTGTATTGCCTTTTTGTACAGTATATATTCAAGTTTTTTGCCATTAGTTCTATGGGATCTTCTGTCTTTCCTATTGAATTGGCTATTATGGATTTATGTATTATGAATGTCTTCTCTCATTCTGTGCAATCTTTCAATTTTATGGTGGAGAAACTGAGGCTCAGAGAGGGAAGTAGATAGTCCAATGCAAGGTAGTGAGACCACAGTCAAACTTGGAGAAGCCATGCCCTCCTTTGGAACTGTGGCCACTACAGGCTTCCTCCTACAGTCTTCTCTCCCTCTCTTGCACCTTCTTTCCAGCTCTTTCTCTCTCTCCCTGGCCATCTCCAAACAGCTCAGATATATACTGCCATGATTCCCACCTTAAAACACCTTATGTGCATCTTCTCTCCTCCCCCAACCCCCTGCCCACTGTCCTGATTCTCAGACCACTGTCCCAGCAGGGCTCACCACAGGGCTGTTGGCACTTGCCGTCTCTTGCTTACACATTTCTCCTTCTCACCTCAGCCCATTCCATGAAGCTTTTGTGCCCCCCCCCTCTCTCTCATAGCGCTGCTATCCAACATCAGACCTCCTTCCCCTGTGGTGCTCAGCAGCATACCTTAGTGCTTCCCTCCGACTTCAAGGGTGGCTCTTCCTGTGTCTCATGCTCTCCTCCTCTTTCTGACCTCCACACACCAAGGAGCCACCACTCAGCACTCATTCTGGCTTCTTGTATTGCTCCATTTTTGTTTTTTAGATGGAGATAAAGGGTTAGATATTGCCAGTCCTGGGCCTAACCATTTCTTGTCTGTCTCCATAAACCTTTCTGCTACAGTAGTGTCCTGACTGGTCTCCCTCTGCTGATTCATGCCCTGCTACTGGCTGTGCTCACCCAGTCTCAGAACCATCCTACCATTCTTTTAGAATCTGTATCAGGTCACATCACTTCCCTGCTGAGTGTCATTTAGTGTTCTCTACACACACACACACACACACACACACACACACACACACACACACACCACTCATGAGGGCTGGCCCTTCCACTGCTCAACCTCCCCCACACCAAGCACAGTGGCTACCTCTGCCTGCACCTCGCAGAGCCAGGCCTTGCTCATTCCTCCAGTCTTAGTTCAGAGAAGCTCTCTGATGGCCCAGTTAGAGCAGCCCTTTTCTATCCACTGGATGCTTTTGTTCCACATCTTGCATCTGAATATATGTGATATATTGTCTGTGTCTGTGTTGTATGCCACCTCTCTATGTCCTGTGTATGCAGGGTGCTCAGTCATGTTTATTCAACAGAAGGCTGGAGGGGTACTGTGTTTCTTTGGTTCCCACTTTTTGGCCTATAAGATAAAAGCATTATGCCTACCTGCCTTGAAGTCTTGCACTTGAGCCCCCAGAATTCTTCTAGAAGGCCAGTGGTTCTCAACCTTCTGACCCTTTAAATATAGTTCCTCATGTTGTGACCCAACCATAAAATTATTTTCGTTGCTACTTCATAACTGTAATGTTGCTACTGTTATGAATCGTAATGTAAATATGCAGGATGGTCTTAGGCAACCCCTGTGAAAGGGTCGTTCGACCGCCAAAGGGGTCGCGACCCACAGGTTGAGAACTGCTGTCTTAGGCTGTCCTGTAATTCCAACCACCCTCCCGCCTGGGCATGGGCATCCCCTCTTTTCCTCTGAGCATATCTAACAGATTAGCATTTTCTAAAGAAGCTCAACTAAGAAATTGAGGAAAAACTAGAGACCTTAATAAGGCAAAATCAAAGGCACAGGTGGGTTCGGTACCTGGCTGAGGATTTAGCCAGAGGTCTGCAGGCCAGGCCCCCAGGCCTGCCATAAGCTTCCCCTTGGAACCTCAGATGATACCTTCTCCCACATAGAGCTGGGAGGGCAAGAGGGCTGCCAGAGGTCTCCATGAGCATTCATATATATATATATATATATAATATTTTTTATTGATATCAGAGAGGAAGGGAGAAGGAGAGAGAGATAGAAACATCAATGATGAGAGAGAATCATTGATTGGCTGCCTCCTGCACACCTCACACTGGGGATCGATCCCGCAATGCAGGCATGTGCCCTGACCAGGAATTGAATCTTGACCTCCTGGTTCAGGTTGTTGCTCAACCATTGAGCCACACCAGCTGGGCTCCATGTGTATTCTTATAGGTCTACTAGAGGCCTGGTGCACAAAATTTGTGCACGGGATGGGGGTCCCCTCAGCCCAGCCTACACCCTCCCCAATCCGGGACCCTTCGGGGATGTCCAGCTGCTGGTTTAGACCCTATCCCTGGATCATCCCTTGGACATCTCTTTCACAATCCTGGACTGCTGGCTCCTAATTGCTCACCTGCCTGCCTGCCTGGTCACCCCTAACTGCCCCCCGTTGCTGGCCAGGTTGCCCCCAACTGCCCCCTCCCTGCTGGCCTGGTCGCTCCTAACTGCCCCCCCTGCCAGCCTGGTCACCCCTAA